TTAAGAGTACAGAGCTTGGCAACGACCAACAAAAATCAAAGTGTACAAGATTATAACACAAAATGAATCCAACTTCAACATTTAAGAAATTGTACTTCAGTACTCAAACCAATCCATGACAACCTTGTTTTTCAGATTCGGTTAAGGACCCAACACTTTCTTTGCAAGATTATAATTTATCAAAATGTAGATAGTACACTCAAGTAGAGGTGGCAAATGGATCGAACCATGGATTCGTGGATTGGATTGGTGGATTCATGGATCAAATGGATTGGATCCAATGGATTGGTGGATTCATGGATTGGATCAAGTGGATTGGTGGATTATCCATGAATCCAAATGACATCCTCAACCTTGGACCAATATGTAAAATGTGAAAAGTTTAGGTACTAAAATGTCGTAATGAAAATTTTTAGGTACCAAAACATAATTTTCCAATGAGATTTTTCGTATAAAAATTAAATTTTAGGTACCAAACTGTAAAATATAAAAAGTATAGGTACCAAACCGTAATTTATCATTTGGATCCATGGATTGATCCATGAATCCACAATCCAATTGGATTTGGATTAAATGGATTGGATTTAAATGGATTGGATTAGGTGGATATTTTTAATGGGTTGGTGGATTGGATTGAGAATTGTCACCTCTACACTCAAGTAAGTACGTCGTGACTCATCTCATCTAGCACATTGTTGTTCCTGCTTTTTAGAATAGTAGTATATTTTCAATCTGCAGAGCCGCTCAACTCTAATCTCTTTAGATATTTCATCAGGTATTTACTCTCCGCATATTCTTGCAATTGCTTGACCTCTTCATTTGTGCTACCCTCTTTCCTACGTAAATCCACCTCCTCTCGCACCTTCTCGTCTATTGTCGGGCAATAGTCATCTAAGGATTAAATATGCATTGAAAATCAATAAACAAGGCAATCAAAACAAACCCATGATTACACAAAACGAATGGGCATCATTTATGGTTAATTAACAGTCAAAATGTCATGCCATATACATAACTAATAATAGGGATTTTCAAATGGTAGGAGTGGGCGAGTGGCTATACCATAACCATTTAGATCTACATTTTTTTTAACCATGGAACAAAAAAAGTTAACCAAACCAACCAAATTACATAACCATTTGCCCAGTCACTATCAATTTACAAGCAATAATAATATTGCCACCAAGCATCATATAAGATCCATGCACAATGTTAAATCTTTCATTATCATGGTCGGCAATCAATGCTAAAAGTTGAGCAGTCATAGATGTTGTTTTCCCCAAAATTCTTTAGAGAACCCCAAGCGTGATATATGATAATGCTATTTGATACAAAAGTAGACTATTATTGTTTTTTTTTTCATTAAATGTTAATTACGAAATAATATGAAACTTTCAAACTCATTTTTCCCAACAATTCTCATATATAGTAGATTCTTTAAATATTATTTAGCAATAATCCCTTGGCGCCATACCCCTTGGTTCAATGACTAAATAATGATAATCAATCAATCAAGGTAAACAGTTACCTTCAAAGAAGTTGGAATGGTGTCTGAGCAAACTTCCTTTTGTGCAGAAATGACAGAAAAGACCCAGCTCTAGGAACCCAAGGTCTTGTGCAGCGTCAGATGGTAGTTTCAGTAAGCCATAACCTTCCCCGACAACCTCATCTTCAGGATTTTTTTCCTTATCTCAAATAGAGCGTCCATTTCACCTTCTATGTACTTACACTTGAAGTCTATCAGCTCATAATACCAATCTACGAACAACCCAGAATTCAAAATGAAAGATCTGCAAAGCTATTCCTCTCTCCCTCTCTCTCGTGTCTTTGATTTTCCCAGCATACCATAGTACTGGGAAAAATAACGTTGTTAGCCAGGAGCAGAAAAAAACAAAGAAGGAAGAGCAATGAATGTTATACTACTTGAGATGACTTTTGTTTACCTGATCGGCGTTCATTGCCGGATAAATTAATTTCAACCACATCAAACATTATATCATATTCAGAATAATCATCGACACGCCCCATCATAAGCTCCCTGAGGCATTCGTCATTGGTCATTATTTTGGTCCTCGTTATTTTCACACGAAGAAACCATTCCTTCATGATGCAAGGAAGGACCTCAACGTCTCTTTTCACGTATCGCTCTATCAGTTTTGTTTATGTGACTTGAATCGGACTATCCACCGCTACGATTGGATTAGTCGGGGGTCCACATGGCAAGTTCCAACACTGCTTGGACTTGCTGAATGTCTTGAGTGTGTGACTCCGCCCTACGGGGCTTTGATGGTGGGAGAGAGAGAAGGAGCAGAGTACATCAGAGATTTCAGAGGAAGAGGATTCAAGTAAAGGTGGAGATTTGTTGATGTGACTTGAATCGGACGATCAACCGCTACGACTAAATTAGTCGGGGGTCTCGCTGACCGGGTTCTGGGACTGGTCTGTAACCATTTCCTTTGCCTGATTAGATTAGGTTTAGACCCACATGGAGAAGTACTATAAATACTTCTCATACTCCTCTGTAATTTGTAATCTCCTCGATATAGTAAAACTGGCTCTCTCTCGCCCGTGGACTAGCTAACACACATCGTGTTAGTGAACCACGTAAATCGTGTATCTGTGTTTTTCGATTCTTGCTTTCGTATTCTTGCCTTATCGATTCCGGCGATTTCTCGATCCGTAGCAGCGCGTTTATAACAAGAATTGTATGGATAAAAAATTAAATAAAAAGATGCACAATTTATGTTTAGACCAATCATACCTTCACTGCCAAAATCATCGTTTTCGATAGTCAGCTGTCTTGGAGTCGTTTCCAGGAGAGCATCCTACCAAGTACCGGACGCTGAGAATAAGCAGCCATGGAAGAATGAGGAGAGATTAATGTAAGATGTTTTGCTAATCCGATGCTGCGAGACGAACCTCGGAGACGCTCATCAAAATTTCTGGAGAGCGATCGCCACATTTTTCTCTCTAGAGCGGCCGCCTGTGCTGCTGTTTACGGGTTTCCCTGGCTGAGAAGGGCCACCCGAAATTGTATTGGCCTGCACGATTCCGTTTTGGACACTAAAATCAATAAATAAAAAAATCGACATAAGAGTTTAGTGTGGTTTCCCCGGGACTAGTACACAGAGAGTAAAAGCTCTCAAAGCAAGTTCCACTAGCACGATAGAACCGTAGTAGCATGCGCAGCTGAGTTCATTCTCTCCTAGGGTTACAGGGATAGAGTGCTAGCTATATATATATATGTCCTTTCACACGCAACACAACTAGGGCATATGAAAAATAAAAGAAATAAACTTCAACTAATAAATATGTAGAAGTCGGTCCAATACAATCTAATACTCCCCCTGAACCTGAAGCATGAAGGTCTTGAATGCCAAGCTTGGAGAGTAAGATGTGAAACTGTTCGGTTCCTAATGCCTTGGTGAATATGTCTGCGAGCTGGGAGTGAGAGCCAACCTTTCGAGGCAGATTGTCACCACAGATAACGCGCTCACGGACAAAGTAGCAGTCCATCTTGACATGCTTCGTACGCTCGTGGAAGACTGGGTTAGCAACAATATGTAGAGCCGCCTGATTATCAGAAAACAGAACGGTGGGACCAATCTGGGGCACCCTTCTCTTGATAAACTCACTCTTTTGAAGGATTTTTGGGCTGTACTTTTTCCTCTCGAAACCCCTCTCATTGTGATTCTTGCCTTCGAGCATAGCGGACCAGAACTCCTTTCCCTGTTAGTTCGATTAAAACTACTAGGTGTTTCGATTTTCTTCATATGGATATTTGGGGACCCTACCATACCCCTGCTCTTGATGGTTCTCATTATTTTTTGACGATTGTGGATGACTTCAATCGGTCAACTTGGGTTTATTTAATGAAGTTTAAATATGATGCGGAACATTATATTCGCATGCATTGTCAGCTCGCTCGTACTCAATTTGGCAGGACTGTCCGTCGAATTCAGGCAGTCAATGGTCTCGAATTTCGGACTTCTTATCTTCGTGATTATTATGAGGAGCATGGGATGATAATTCAGACCTCTTGTACTGACACACCTTAGCAGAATGGTGTGGTGGAGCGAAACCATCGCCATTTATTGGAGACAGCTCAGGCCTTGACGTTCCATGTCGGTCTCCCAGTGCGTTTATGATGGAGTGTGCTCTCACCGTGACATATCTTATTAATTGTCTACCCTTGATGGCGATCTCTTGGAAGACACCGTACGAAGTCCTTCTGGGGCGTGCTCCCACCTATACTCTCGAGTTGTTGGGAGAGGTTCAATAGTGGATCATATACCACAACACTAACACACCCCATCAAACGAGAGCCACTCACAAGGGCTTGAAGTTTGCACAGGTCTGAAGACAAGAATACCACGTGCTTAACAAATGGGGGTCACCGGGAATCGAACACAAGACCTCTCGGTCACTTAAGGCTCTGATACAATTTCAAGAACCAATTGATCCCAATAACTCGAGTTGTTGGGAGAGGTTCAATCGTGGATCATATACCACAACACTAGGTCACCATTCTGATTGCGTTTATTCTACAAAGTTTTTGAGAATTATTACTATCCGTGTATTAAAATGAAAATTTATTTTGTGGATTAAAAGGTACTAAAGAATTATAGTTGAGTTAGTGGTGGAGACAAAATTGAATCATATACATTGTCTATTCCCTAATCAAAGTTGTATTAATTTTATTAGTTGCAACACCAAGTGTTAAGAGAGCTTTTTCAGTTATGAGTTACATTAAAAAAAATACAAGTTTCGGAATTGAATAAACGATAAGTTCGTGAGTGACTGTCTAGTAGTATGTATTGAAAGAGATTTAGTTTGTTGAAGACTGTACAATTTTGCAAAATATGATAAGATGTGGTGGACTTTTGTTACAACTCAATTGGCAATACAAATTAATGAAGAACTATAGCTCTCCAATGTCTTTAGACGCCACAACATTCAAACACACCACCATTATAGTTGGTATATATATAACTAGCTAGCTAGCAAACTTGATAGAGGTAAAGCGGGAGGCGAGGTGCGAGTTTAACCTCCAACGGAGTTGCTTTAGGCATGGTCAATCCTAACCCTTCAGTCATATCGACTGGAACCATGGTCGCGTTGCTGATTTGGAAACCCTGCAAGATCCTTGCTACAGTCAAGTGCACAACTTGCAAGGCAAACGCGTTTCCAGGGCACGACCTTCTCCCCAACCCAAATGGGATCAGCTCATAGTTTTTGGCGGACAATAAGTCAACCAAATTTTCATTCTCGTGGTCTTCTACTTGTTCCGCAAGATACCTCTCCGGCTTGAATTCGTCGGGATCGTGCCACACGTTCGGGTCTCGGTGCAGCTTCCAGAGGTTGGCAAACACCCGCGCGCCCTTGGGGACGTGGTAGCCATGGATGGTGCAGTCCTCCAATGCCTGGTGCGGTAGCCCGGTCGGCGCGGCCGGGTACAAGCGCATGGTCTCTTTGACGATGGCTTGGAGGTAGACGAGGCTGTCGATGTCAGAGTGCTCCACCACCCGATTGCGGCCGACTTTGGCGTCGAGCTCTTGCTGTGCAAGCTCCATTGCGCGTCTGTTGTTCAACAGATTCGAGATGATCCATGTCATGGTGATAGATGTGGTGTCGACACCGCCTAGGATGAGCGTCTGCATGCACCACCATTCAGTGGAAAGTTCTGTTTACCCAACTCTGTTTACCTGATTCTGTATCTAGCTTTTAATTATATATATATATAGTGATTACTTCGGTTGCAATCACAAAAATGAGTGCGTTCAATGCACTCAACTCAAAAACTAGTTTTAAGGTGTCGGTTTTTTAATTTTAATTTGTAGAATTAGAGTAATATGATGATATAACATATGATAACAACTAATTAGCGGATTACCCTAAGCCCTACACCTCCAATTTTGAGTTTTACCCCTAAACCCCAAATTGTAAACCCTAACCCTAAATCTCTAAACTCTAAAACTTTCAAATCAAAGTAAATCTTGAATGGTTTTTGTGCAAATTCATGTGCGTTATTATTCATCACATCATAAGTGATGATTGACATCATTTTGACATAAAAGTGAATGCACCGAAGACGCCAATATATATGGCAAAGGCTACCGTACGTCCGGGCGTACGCTAGCCTATCGTACGCCCCATTGAGTTTTGCTATTTAGACAAAGAATTAATCGTAGTTTGGGACATGATACTATACCCTAACCCCTAATGGGTGAATCCCAGTCCACAATTCACTAACCCAAAGCATTAGATTCATTTAGTCTTAAAAATGAAATCAATGATTCTGATTCGTCGAAATTTTCATTGATTTTCATTTTAAGATTCAACGAATCTCATGGTTTGGGTAAGAAAATTAGGGACTGGGGTTTACCCATTAGAGATTAGGGTATAATATCATGCCCCTAACTCCGATTAATTCATGATCTATATAGCAAAAATCAATGGTTAGCGTACGCCCGGACGTACGCTAGCTTTGAAGCTTTGTTAGATTGACGGTTTCTGAAAGTAGAAGGGAATAGACATCAACATTTCTTTGTTGGTCTTTCATCATCTTACGAACTACAGATTAAATGAAGTTAACACGAGTTATATATAGAATCTCACTAGTGCACTTAGTATGAAGATGATAGCACAGAATAAGAAAAATGATCCACTCTAAGTGGTGGAGCTAGAGTTACAATTCTCTCTCACTTTTATCTAAAGTTATAATGTGTATATTCATATATTGGTAAATATTACAAAGTGGCCGGAGCCTCTTCATCCGAAAATATCCATATATCTAACATTGTAATTTGTGACAATGAAAACGTATAATGGATACAATCTTTTCAAGCACAAAAAATCTTATTTTCTAGCACAAATATTTTAAAGTCGATGTAAAAAAAAAAAAAAAATTAGTCGGTTGTATTTTTATAGATGATTTAAAAGTGATTTAAGCAAGCCCCTAAAATTAAATTTCGCGCCAACCCCAAAAGAATTCAATCACCTATCCTCGAAATTTCTGATTTCCCAACTCGTGCACCATTAGATCTCTTTTCCCAAATTATAACAACTATATCTTATTTTGTAGATCTATTTGCTTTGGAACCTAAACCTATGACTAAAGAGCCTTTAATATAAAAATATGTCCATTTAAAAGTTGCAAAATGAAAGACGAGAGATTGAGTCCAAAAGAAGATCAATTCCTTAATTAATTACCAGGGATGTGGCTTTGATGATTGTGTCCGGCGAGAAGTGGTGCGCAAAATCATCCCCAACAGCGGAAAGCATCACATCAATGAAGGCACTCTGCTCTTCACCACCACTTGCTCCTCCTGTCCCATTCCTCAGCTGCTTACGCTCCTCAATCCAACCCTGCAACACCTTGTCCAGTTCCGCAGCAACCCGCTTCATCGATTTCAAAGACCCAGGAAACCAATTCATCCATCCCAACAATGGGATGAAATCCGAGGGCACGAAGTCGGTGCAGATGCGCATAAACTCCTTAATCAGCCCTCCAATCCTCTCCCCTTCCTCGCTCCCTCGACCCCCACCCTTGTAATTGAAGTACCTCTTCCCTGCAATCAACCTCGTAATCGTGTTACAAGCCAGCTGCTCCAGCAACTCGCTGATCCCAGCAACTCCCCTGCTCTGGCTCTGGCTCTGGCTCTGGCTGACGTGATGCAATTCCTTCATCAGCATGTCGATCTCCGATATCTGAACGTGGCGGAGGGACTTGAGCCGGTGGCTGGACAGCAGCTGAGTCACCGCCACCTTCCGAATGTCGCGCCAGTATGTCCCGTACGGCGCGGCGCCGAGGCCGGCGTAGTTGTATGTCAGGCACTCTGCATTGCTGGACTTGGGACGAGACGCCAGAGCCCTGTCGAGGTGGCCCCCCGCGAAGCATTCGTGGACGGTCTCGGGATCGCTGACCACGACGGCTCGGAGAAGTCCGAGCCGGATGGTGAAGATGGGTCCGTGACTGTCCGCCATGTCGGCCAGCGCTCGGGCCAGTGTCTTCTTGGAGGAGAGGAGCTGATGGAGGTGGCCTATGATCGGGAGGCCGCCATATGGCTCAGGGGGGAGAAGAGCTGGCTTCGGTGTGGTACTGTGAACATGGTTAGTGGTGAACAGGTAAAGGAGGGAGGATGCTGTTACTACTAGTGCTAAAACGAGGACTAGGAGATTGTCTGAGAGGCAGAGAAGCTCCATGGTTCGTTGGCACCCAGATGGAATGGAATAGTTGGAGGGGATACTACAAGTCAGTCGTATGTATTAGTTTAGTAGTGGAGCTTGACTTTCCATTAAATATTTATATAAGTCGTTCCACAGAGACTCTTCCATCTGTATCTGCGGACTGGTGTAGCCACCAGAGGAAGACAGTCAGATTGGACTTTTATTTTGGAGCTTTTGTCCTCCATGTGCCTCTGCTTCTGCCTCCAGTTCACACGGATGATTCCAAGGAACAAACGAATGGGCCTTATCCACCAGCGGAACTGATTCATTTCGATCTAATCGAAATTTTTAACGAATGCATTATTGTAATACCCAAAATTATATTCATTTTGTATACATGAAAACGAATGTTATGCAGAAGAGCCCAATTAATTTGACATTTCTGTATAGACAAAAATTGAATTTCAATTAAAATAAAAAAGATATAGTTCATTAAGTTTAGTAAAAAGGTTATACATGATCAATAACCAACCCGGTCACTATTCATATCCATACCTAATAATCTACATAGATGAAGGTACTTGAAGCAAATGAGCCGAGTTTGGCCTATCTTGGCCTCACCTCGTTGATAAACCAGTCAAGTTCGATTTTATCTTTTTTTATAAACCAATCAAGCTCGATCCCAACTCCTTTACTTAAACCTTCCTCATGTTTGACTCGAGCTCATCTCGAACTGCGGCAATCCTCTTAGCCAAACCAAAGGACTACCAAATACTTGCCAAAGAAGTGAACCAAGCGTGGAATAAAGAAGGAAGAAATTGGTTAAGTCTGGAAGCAGTTCCATGGTGTCTACTTTGAAGGATTGTATCTTCGTCATGGCGGCTTCTAAAGGGTGTACATTGCTTGTTCATTGTAGTATTACACTTGGTAAAGATCGACAAGGGGTGGGCTGAAGGAGATCAAGCTTCTTGGGTCTCCATTGAAGCCTATGAAGATAGCATGGACACATGTTGGAAACATATTTTAAAAATGGCTAAGTATGGGATTGTGTTCAGGATGCCTACTTTGAGTTTCTATATCTTCCTCCTGGAAGAAAGTCGAAGGGAGCTAGGAGTTGTTCGTGATAGTCCTCGTATAGATAAAGATCGTGAAGGTATTGGTTGAGTGAAATGAAGCTGGGAACACCATCTTTGAGAAGCTTGAAGATGCAATAAAGCCTTGTTTATTACTTGTCCAGAAAGTCAGTTACTTGGGCCAGAAGTCACCAAATTTCAGAGGAATTCTTTGCCTTTTTTAGTTGAGATTATTTGTCCTTTTCAGTGTCGTAGCTAGATTGTTTTCCTTCTTAGTTTGGTAGTTGAATTAGAAGTTTTGTAGCTCTATTTAAGCATCAAACCGAGTTGTAATCATTATCTTTAATCTTTTAAAATAAACAATGTTTCTTCAAGCTTTACTTGCGAATTTTGCTTTGTTAATTGATGGACTCCAGCTGATAGAGTGTTTTCTTTGTATCAATCAAGTAGTCACTTTGAAATCCTTGAAGACTATGGGCCATGGATGCTCGCAACAAGACCAAAAAGGAAAGGTAGTCAGCAGAAAGTACAGAAAGAAGAAGAGAAGAGAGGAGAGGGAATGAAAGAAGAAGCATTTGCACCAATGGGTTCGCAATTTAGTGCATTGGAATCAGAGGAAGAAGCACCATCAAAAGAAGGGGATATGGAGAACCTCAAGGCTGACCAAAGCCCAACTATCATGGTAATGGAACAACAGGCAAAAAACAAAATGGGGAAACCATCAAGGAAACAAGACAAGAGATAAAGAAGCAGGGGAAGAAGGAGACTGGAAAATTGAAAGGGGAAGGAAGCAAAGGGCAAAAGCAGAGCCAAAAGACGGTTCCCTAGAACGAGAACCAAAAATCCTCTCAAGAAATGCCCAAGCTGACAACTGATTCAACGTCCAGCTCTGCCATAGAAAAGCCTAATCAAAATATGAAAATAGGTACAAATAAAAGGGTTCAAAAAGGGGTAACCTCCCATGCTGGGAAAACCAAGCTGATCAAATCTGCAAGTCACCAGACCTCCTCCAAATCAAGAATAACTGGTATAAGCAAGGGTTTATTAGCGGAGGTCAAAATTGGTCATCAACCCAAAATGTGATCGCCTGGTGATAGTAATGAGGATAAGGAGAGTAGCAAAAAGTAACTTAAGACTCAAGCTTTTGAGGTGGGTCAACCAAGGAAAATTTATTTTGATTCTAAAATGAATATGAAGTCTTCATTGCCAAAAAGTGCATATGAGCCAACGGTTACAGCGAGAGTTTGTAATCCAGGGGATCAGAAGACGACAATGTTTGTCGACAGTTGTGATTCTTTACCATAGGGTCATCTGGGAAGTAATCTTTTCAATTCTATTTAATGGTTAAGATATCCTCATATAATTTTAGAGGAGCTCAACACCCCAAATTTCTTTGAACTTATGATTTTTACAGGGCTAGCTTTAGCTTAGATGTTGTATGCATTGATACAATCCTGGAAACGATCAAATTCCATCCATGATTGATCGCCAAAGAGGCCAAGTTGAATTGCAAAGAATAAGCTAAATATTGTCCAAATATTTTTCCTGTTTCAGGTAACCGACTTTAGAGGTTTGGTTCTCTCAATTGGCTCGATGAAAATTCGAGTTTGATGGTTTGTTTCAAAGATAAGAATTTTTTCTAAAACTATGCATGCTTGGGAGATCGATATAAAGTCCAGAAGACCGTTGTTCAAAAGTGTATGGAAAAACAGGAAAACTGCCAGAATCTGTTCAAGTATAAATCTGTGATCGTGAAGCCCACTTCTGAGCTCAATTTGAGGAGCATGGATCAGAGTCCAGTCAAGAAGCTTCTACCACATGAAGGTATATATGTTTTTCTACAAAGGAAAGGCATTGGATGAAGAATTGGATACCTAGAAGGCTTCGGACAAAAGGATCAAATGTCCTACGAAGTCACATAAATTCTGTCTTGTAAAACATAGTTTTGTTTTCCTTATTCGATTAGGATTAGGTTCTTTTGATACTTTTCAGTTCCTTTTCGTATTAGATTGTTATTAGGACTTGTGTGGACGTGTGTAACCCTAGCTAGGCATATTTAAACGTCTTGTTTCGTTGTAATTGTCAGACTTTGATTAAACGAAAAGAAATCGTTTGGTTTGTTCAAGTTTGCGAACTTGTTTTGAGTTTATTGGATTCCAAACTTGCTGAGCTTATGTATCGATTGAATAGTCCCTTCAATCATGGTCGAGCAACCATCTTTTAATCCAATCGAGCGTTCCCAGGTGTGGAATCGTCCTTTTGGTTCCGTTTTTGTTGAACCGTGTACCTTTTGGGTTGTTTATTAATTTTGAGGACCAGTTTGGTTATTTTATTGTAAGCCCTAATTACCCTAGGTTGCTACGTTGATGAGGGTATATTAGGTGGAGGTTGTTGCAGCCGAGCTGCAGGTTGTGCAGTCTTTCTTCTGTGAAGTTTAATAAGATAAACTGAGAGCTTCGGCTCTCCGTGGAGTAGTCTCGTTCACATTGAACGGGGAAACCACGTAAAATCCCTGTGTTGTGCTTCCGCATTTTAGTAGATTTTACATGGTATCAGAGCGGTCATTGTGATCCAGCTTTGACGTTGCAGCTATGGCTATCGGAGAAGATGGGGGTTCTTGCGGCAAGAACGTCGTCACCGACGTTGAAGTTATCTCGCTGACCTCGCCTCTCTATCTCCATCCGTCTGAGAATCCAGGACAATTATTTGGGAGTGATCTCTTGGCTGATTCAAACTATGGTGAATTGGTGAACGATATGACTGAAACCCTGATCACAAAGAATAAACTTGTTTTTGTGGACGGTAGCTTTCCTCGATCCAAGGCAGGTCCAGGTGTCCGGGATGATGCATGGGGAAGGTGTGATGCTACAGTGAAAGGATGGCTGAAGACAGCCATGAGTAAAGAGGTGAAAAATAGTGTTCGTGCGGCTAAGACAGCGCGCGATATCTGGGCGGATCTTCAACAGAGATTTGGGAAAAGTTCAGCAGGGAGAGCTTATGAGCTTCGCAGGGCAATCGGAGCGTTGCGGAAAGACAAACAATTTGTGTCCGCCTTTTATACGAAGCTGGTCACTTTTTGGGATGAGCTTCATTCTGTTACAATAAACCCACGTTGCACCTGTGGGAATTGCTCTTGTGACATGGGTCGCCAAACAAGGGAAAAGGAAGAAACAGAACGTCTCTTTGACTTCTTGTTAGGACTAGATGATGCTTTCTCAGTCATTCGATCCCAAATATTGAGCATCAAGCCTACGCCCTCATTGGCGGAGGCGTACCAACTCGTCGCGGCAGAAGAGCAGCAGCGCCACCTCACGGGTAGTCGTCGACCACCGGTGGAAGCGACTGCTTTTCAAACACGCCGAGAGAGAGAGCCTGAGGAAGAGCCTATTCATTGCAGCCACTGCAACAAGAAAGGTCACACGAAGGATAGTTGCTTCAAGTTAATTGGGTACCTAGGTGATCAGAACAAGAGTTGCACAGGAGACCGAGGTAGTGACGGACGTCGGAACAAAGGAGATGGGAAACAGCCGCGCGCAGTGAATGTAGAGGCTGAGGAGAGCCCGATCCCAGGATTGACATCAACACAATTTGCTCAACTAAAGCAGCTACTGTCTGCTCCTGCACCAGTGACCTCGGAACCTACCGCACATATGGCTGGTAAATCCCCTGAACCTTTTGAATGGGTTATTGATTCAGGGTGCAATGAGCACATTGTGCATGATTCTCGTTGGTTAGATGAGCTGAACACGAATGAGTCTCATTTACCTGTTCGTATTCCGGATGGTTCGAGTGTACCAGTAGATGGTATAGGGTCCATCCAGTTGAGTCCGCTACTGAAGCTGTCTCGTGTTCTGCTTGTGCCCACCTTCAAATGTAATTTGTTATCAGTTAGTCGTCTGACGAGAGACAATGATGTGACCCTAAATTTCGTCGCTGATCTGTGCTTGATTCAGGACTCACACT